AAGGCTTAGATCGCTGCCGAATTACAAACACAGTCTGTTCCCGACTACTGTTTAGATCGATGAATAGCGTGTTCTGAGAGCAGTCTGCAATTCAAAGCAGTAGAATGCAGTAGAGCCATCAGCGCCATGCAGGAAACTGCCGGAGCTCGAATGTTTCACCTATGCATGTGAGAAGGAATCCAGGTACGATCGACGGTTCAAGCTGTAGCGAGAATGAAGTTGTCGTTCACGGAATGTCACAGACCGTTGCCCATCATTTGGGGGTTTCCGAAAATAGGGGACCCTAATCTAGTACTCTAAATAGTAGGATCCTTACGAAAAGGACCCCAAAATAATGTACCCCTAAACCCTAGACCCTAATATAGTACCCTAAATAGTAGGATCCTTACGAAAAGGACCCCAAAATAAGGTACCCCTACTGTTCGGAAAGTCCCATTTGGGCGGGCATCCCCAAGAAACCACTAGTCATGTCCCGGCATTCTGCACTCTCGAGCTAGTGGGGATGAGATCTGCGGGCAATATACAATAACATACCATACTATGTGCCATAATATACTATAATATATACCATAATATATACCATGATATACTATAATTTACCATAATATATACCATAACATGCTAAGTTGTGTGGGACTTTGTGCTCGCGAGCGAGAAGGGCAGGCCACCTCAAGAGACTTCAAAGACCAAACCTGCCCTCGACCGCTGCGAAGGAGAAGAGGAGAGCTGGAGTGGTTCAGATCCGATTCTTTACAAGCAGACACCGTAAGGATCTGGGGACCCAGAGCCTTAAAGCTTCTTGCGGTCGCATTAGGGCTTCTCCAAGATGCTAAAGATTGAAGTGTGAGTTCGAGCTGATGATTCCCGATGGTGCATGGGCTCTCGTCGCGACATGTGCTTGTTTCGATGTACCTGGCCAGATGAGCGCAGTGGCATCTGATCCCCGCACTTCATGTCCAATGCTTCACTCCGAGCTCTGACCTGTTTGCTCGCCGCTGGAGGCAGGATTGCTCAGCGATGCAAAAGATTGCACCCAACCCGATTAGGTATCTGCTTAGCGCCTTGCCATCAATATCCGCAATCCTTGAAGAAGAAGAAGAAGGAGAAGTCCGCCGCATCGGATCTCAAACCAAGCAGGCGCTGGATGGCACTACAACAGCATCAGAACCCCCAGACACGCAGAAGCATCCATCTCGGCATGGAGACTTCCCCCGGCGAGTCGCACGGACAGACTGGAGAGTTGGAAAGGCCCGCCAATCTGTTGGCCTGGTGACATGCATGTGTGTGTGTGTATGTGTATATATATATATATATAGAAATGTGTGTGTGTATATATATATATGTATGTGTATATATATATATATGAAAACATGGTCTTGACGATGATCATGATGCTGATGATGAGGAGGAGGAGGAAGATGATGAGGAGGAGGATGATGATGATAACGATGACGATTACGGCAACAGTGGTGTTTTCTGTAGCAATCGGAATAATGCTCGCAACCATCGCAAGAGCAGTAGAGTACATGATGAAAATCGCTTGTCAAATTTATGTTCAGGAGGTATCTCTACAAAGCAGGACACACTCACATCATTCACTCTCGAGGGGTCGGCGAAGCCAAGCTCCCAAGTCGCCATGAAAGCAATTGACTGGGTCAAAAAGTTAAGAGTCGACTTTGCAGGAATTCCAAATTCAGCCAAACCCGGCAAGAATCTCGAAAGCTTGCAACCTCTCTGACCCTGAGCTTTGAAGCCCGGACTCTGCAGAGACCTCCAACAACGTACTAAGTCTACTAAATTAGATCCTGGCACTACGTCTAGATCTAGCAGATGCCTCCCACCCGAGAACGGACGACCCCGAAAGAATGCACTCCAAGATGCACTCGCCAGAGCACTGTGCGTGCACAAGTGCACATGCGCGCGCACGCGCACATGAAGCACACAGGCTGCAAGTCAGGTCTCGGTGTAGTGCAGAGGAGGATGCGAATCGTGCAGATGCTTCCTGACAACACGTGACTAGACAACGCAGGTCGGTGAAAGCACTTGCTCAGCATCCCGCCACCCAAGTTGCAAAACGTCAGGCCGTTCTGGTATCCTGCCGCTTGCATCGGATCCTCCGTAAACAGCGCCGAAACATGGGAGTCAGAATGTGCGCCCCGAGTTGTAGCGTCCAAATCCGGTTCTGTGTTTTTGAGGCTTGTGGGGCGCTTCTTCTCGGTGGGCCACTCCAACAATGAGGCCGACCAGTTCTTCAAGCTGCTGGAGAAGCACAATGTCAAGGACACAGAAAGGGCAGAACAGCCGAGTGAGACTGGGCGAAGCACTCAGCTTTTTGGCGCATTCCCTATTAGGGCCGAAGTTTGCTGCAACGGCTGCAAGTCGCTCTCTTCCTGGATCTTGCAAAGAGCAAAACGTCCCGGTGCCTCATTGCGGAGGAGCTCGTGGATGTGCGCAGCATCCCCTCTAGTGGCAAATTCCCGCACTTCAAGCACCTCGGTCGAGAGCATAGAATTGAGGAAGGCATGTTTCCGCTGGTTCGCCGCAGGTGTCAGTCGTGTGATGCCGGTGCCGTTAGCCTGCTCGTTTTTGACTTCCCAAAAGAGGCCATATTTCGAGAGGATGAAACTCCAGAGATCACTCACAAGCATCACGACACCTGCCAAGACGATTGGAGTATACTATAATGTAGTGCCATATCATGTAGCAAAATATAATAATATCAGATACCATAACATAACAGAATCTAACGCCTTTACTCAGCTTGTCTTGTCACGAACGGACGCAAGCACCCAGGCGGAACGCACTTCAAGCTCAGTGCCAGCGCCGAGGCATTGCCTACCGTGCCTTGGCCCAATAATAGCCTTGAGGCGGTTGGAAAGGCAAGCCAACAACAGCAAATAGTAGGAGCCCGCACCAGTGTATTATTATTGCCCTATTGGTTCAAGCCGACACGAAAGCGGAAGGGACGCCGACCCAAACCCCAGGCGGAAGGCACCAGGCTCTCTCCACCAGTCCCGCTTCCGTCTTCTGAGCAAGTGCAGGGAAGATTTCTTCCCAGAGCAGAGAACTGGAGGCCATTGCCCGCAGCTGGGCAACAAAGGAGCGTGCGCCTCAGAATGTGGAGACAAGGTCATGCCATGTCATGTCATAGAACTCCAGCCTTACCTGACCTCTTCCTTGAAGCTGACAAATGAGCACTGCATGTCCGAGAGAGCTGGTATTGGCTCCGTGGGCCAAGGTCTCTTTGTCCTGTAAAAACTGACACACCCTGCGTTGCATCCATAGCAATGCCAGGTAGAATTGGAAAAAGACGGAGAGCGAGTTCAGCAACAGCAGTCGAGTGTCTGCAATGCTGTGACAGACTCTGAAGGCGCACAGCTCCCAAAGCTGGAGTCGGAGCAGGTCATTCTAGTTAGGCTGCAACAAGCACGTGAGGAACGACTTAGCTCCGGGAAGGGTTTTGTCGCCGATCAGAGAATATGAGATGAGATCACGTAAGCAAGACCCCGGGTGGCGATATGTATGTTGCTGACCACCGGAAAGCGAACGACGGCCTTCGTAGCGTGACTTACAGTGACTGTGGGTACTCTAGTCATGCTCACGACAAGCCACCAGCGACGAGCCTTAACTCTTGTGATACTCGTAGAACGGCGACGAGACCAAAAGTTGGCCACGTGCAAGAAGAGATGCAAGTAGCACTTTGAGTCTTGAGACCCCTGGCTGCTGGCACGGACGTGCTTCGCGTGCTACCGTTCTCTTTGACATGAGGCAAGCGAGCCACACCCAGATGGTTCCGTAATTCTTTGCAGACTCGTGCTGCGGTGCTTGCCTCGTTAAACATACCATGAATACCCACGTCGCTGCCCAGGTAGATGGTGGCATCCTGGCCCTACTTGCCACCGAGGATATGGGAGCTTGATGTAGCTTTGGACTCTGCGACATGCCCCTCTTCAAGGAAGTCCTCCATCTTGCATTGCGCTTCCACCCAAAAAGGACGGCGCAGCAGCTCTGGAGAAGTTGGCCTCCAGCGCCCGCCAGGTCTTGGAGCTGAGACTTTCAAGGTTCCTACTATTGGTGATACTATTTCTGCTATTGCCTTATAGTCCCAGTCCCGACACCTATCGTCCCTTTATGATTGCCATATTACGGAATCTTGGAATTTCTTGCATCATGCCGACCATGTCCTGTTGATACCTATCGGTCGATTTCTGGAGCTCCACAGTCGTCGCGAGTGTAGCTGAGTATCTTGACCCTGGCATGCTGATTTGGCAAAAGCAGCGGGGCGGGCGGGTGGGCATTTCGGTATGCATCTGCTTCACCACAGCTGTGCCGCTGGAGACACTGCACAGTGGAAAATGCAGGCACAAGTATCTTCGAAAGAGAGCTGCGCATTGGAAAGTCCATATTGCCCNNCCCCCCCCCCCCCCCCCGCAAAGCGCCAGATTCGAGGCCACGCTGCTGGGCCCGAAGACTGCGATGATGTGCGCCGAGGCTCTTCGAAGCGCTTCCTTCGCGACTCAGACCCACCTCTTTTTGCTCTTTGCTGCAGACCTTAGATGAAAAATATTAGATGATACAAGCGATGATGACTGATAATGTACAGCAGCTATAGTTAGTAGTCAAGTACACAGTTTGCATACCAGGAACATAGTAGAAAGTATTGTGTATAAACCCTGAACCCTAAGCCCTAAACCCTGCTTTGGAGGCAGATTGGCACGAGTGCCACCGGCAAGTGGTGGCCCAGAGACTACTGGAGGAGTTCGGTGCGCCACCAGCGGAACAGGGTTCTACGAGGGAAGGGGAGTTGGGAGTTTCCGAAACTTAGGGGGTACCTTATTTTGTGGGTCCTTATGATAGGGATCCTACTATTTAGAGTACTATACTAGGGCGCCCTATTTTCGGAAAGTCCCATTTGTTCGGGGGAGACCTTGCAGAAGGTGGAAACTCCAATGAGTCTGGTGCACTCTCTGAAAACGACAATCAGCAAGCAAAGTCATCGCAGTCAAACCCACCGTTGCATGCGCTGCACTGACTGCAGATTAATAAGTGATCTCAGCTTCGCGATAGATAGAAGTTTGTGGCAGGCATAGTGGTCGCGCACATCAAGCGCGACGGGTCGCTGGAGCACCATCCCTCTGACCATGTGACATGGCAGCGCATTAGACATCTGCCGCAGGTCATTCAGATTCAGGCTGTGTGTCTGAGTTCGAAGAGGTCTTTCTTATTCAGTCTCGTTTTCCACGAACTTTTATTAGACAGCCGGTAATGCCGCAGCGGTACTTTGCGTTCTGATAAAGTAGGGGCCAGAAGACTTACCAGCAAGTCTCTTTAGGATTCGTGTTTGTATCTATACTTCAACAGACCCCACAACCCTAGTCTAAGAATGAAGGCCATATATGGGAGTTTCCGAAACTAAGGGGTACCTTGTTTTGGGGTCCTTATAATAAGGATAGTAGGGTACTATGTTAGGTTCCCTATTTTCGGAAACCCCCATATTGCAGATCTTTAAGGTTCTGCCCCCGTACTTCGGGGCGGCCAGAGCTCCGACGTTGGCTCCCCGATTTGCCTCCGCCTATTCGGCAGAGGCCCTTTTGAGCTTCGGTGCGTTTGCATCCTTTAGGGCTTTAGGGTTTAAGGCTTTAGGGCTTTAGGGTTTAGGGGTGGGCGGCGGGCACTACGTCGCTCTGAGTCTTTTTGCGCTTTGCAATCACTGAGCAGTTTGAGGTCCTGCTGCCCTCGTTTAGATCAAGAGCGCTTTCGTGCAAGTTTGGGATAGTGTACAACTCATGTCAGTGGAGAGCGCCTGCGGAGCATTAGAACTGAGAGCAGCGTTTCTTCCTTCGCGGCTCCGCTGCACGACCGAAATCTTGCTTCTTTGTGACGGACAGGTAGACCTGTGTTATAACATGCCAGAACAGATGCAAAGTGCGCCAGGCCTTGTGCTGTGCAGCGCGGGACTTGGACGACTTGTTGAGTATCTCCAGATGTCCACTCGCAGCTTCGTTGAGCCCCCGATACCCATCTGGCATACTGCAAAAAGTGATTCTGCAGCCGACGGAATTGCGAAATTGAGCACCAGCAGCCCAGAGCATGTTGGAGGAGCCTTCCCTCCATGCTGGCTATTCGCGTGCAGGCAGGGGCCCCAGGAGAATTGCATGGTAGTAAACGCGGTGATAGGACCCATTGCTCACAGCCAATGCCAGGAGCTGGCAAGCCCTCAACTATTAAAAAATCACCCCTAAACCCTAACCCTTTGATTTGTGTGTGTGTGTGTTGTTTGGGCGGAGGTGCTGTATATAAAACTATAAGTAGAATAAGGAGCCCTCTGGAACAAGATCGAGGCCCGAGCCTGGCTGGAACTGGGCACGGTGACGGGCCGCTTGGGGACCTCACGGCGTTTGCACCAAGGTCACTCGACAGGAGTTGTGTTCTTCAGCCGAGTTTTGCAGAGGAATCATTGCTAGGTTCCGGATTTTTGGACACAAAGCTCCTTCGAAGCGCCTCTGCCAGGGATCCCCTGCAGATGCCGCATACGCCTCCAGCGCCGGCTGCTGCGGATCTGCCACCAGAGCCGCCGTCATCCGAGGCTGCCCCGTTCTACTGTGCCCAAAGACCGGCCTAAGTTTGCGTGGCCTTAAGGATGTCTCTCCATGAGCTGTTGCAAAGCCGCCCAGGATGCCAAACCCAAACGCCGGTGGAAGCGTGCCTGACGGTTTTGAGACCAACGGCCTTCGGGTGATGTTCAGCTTCCTGTCCCATGCGTCCCGTGGAGCTGACTGTACAGAGATCAGCATGGCCAGAGACGGGAGCCCGAGGTCAAACTAGATGGGCTCAAGATTTTTCTTGGCGGATAGAGAAATTAAGGCCTCGGACCCTTCGTGGCACCTGGTTTCACGGAGATATGTACAGCCTCGGGGCTTTTGCCTGGAGCCGTGGGCCAATGGCGAAGCTCAGCAAGACACAACATATCGGTGCAGTCCCGAATTTCTGGCGGAGCCCTGCAGTCACCGTTTTTTTGCCAGGGATTGGCAGAGGGATTTGGTTCGTGCAGCTTGCTGTCCGAAGCTCGCACTCTGAGATCCCGTCCAGCCACCCACCACGAACCCCCAAGACCCTCACTGCCCTTACTACATCGCATGATCATGTTTCTTTTTAACCTTAACACCAGGGCAGGCCAGGGCCCAATTCCCTCGGTGCCTCCGATGGAGCTGGGCGAGTCTTCGAAGATCCCAGGCCGCCGGCCCTCGCTGGAGCTGCCGCCGCGGCGCGGCGCATGGGCCGAGTCGCGTGACGCAAGGAAAGCCGATCTCATTTCCTACCTTTGGTTAGTAGGGAATGGAAGACTGGTAGTAATGGTACTTATAATAGTTCCCATTCCTCCATTCCCTACTAACCAAGTGTAAGATTTCAGAGGCTTGAGGCCAAGATGCCGGGAAGTGGCGCTGGGGGGGAGGGTAGTCCGTGCTGGTCCGGTTTGATGATACAGAGAAGCGCGACAGCAGAGAAGCAGAATCGGGTGTTCGCACCCCACTTGCCTGTCATAAACCTGTGCAGAGTTGTTTGCCAGGAACGAGCGGAGACCGACAGATAGCCAGGCACGGAGGGGAGGTTTGGACGCTGTAGAGAGAGAAGGGTACACCTTGTGCTTATCGATGTGTTCTCTCATGATTACGTCTTACGGCCATGCAAAACATGAACTTCTGACCTTCTCACTCCGCGCACACTCAAAAAGCTTTGAGGTCCTGGAGGCCTCCGAGCCCGTTTCCCTCAACGACACAAGGACGGGCCCTTGGGGCGAAGAGGCGAACTCTGGCGCCTCTGCTTTTGATTTCTGTGTAGCCCAGGTCTCAGGAGTCTGACCATGCCGAGCAGGCGGTCCCCGACCTGTTCAAAGAGAGGACTCGGCACCGAAGTTTTATCCCCCGAGAGCTCAGAGACTTCTCAAAAAACGCAGGAGAGCAGTAATGGAAGACGAGGCACGGAAGGCAGAAGCCTACGAAGAGGCCACCAGCATTCTCAAGCAGCCTTTTTCTATCTCCTAGTTGGAGGTGGCGTCGGGCTCTTGACTTGGTGTGATGCCGTTCGAGTACCGGAAAAAGTCATCCGTTGTTGAAGTATCTTTTGTGTTCCATTAAATTAAACGATGTTACAACAATAAATTAGTATCGCCCCGGCTTTGGAAAGGCCCTCCGTGCCGAGGAGGAGCAGCTCGGTGCCAAGGCCGTTCAGGCCCTGAGGGGGTTTTGGGTTCTTTTGAGGGTTCTGGTAGTGACCTTCGGGGCCGTCGGTAATGACCCCCTGGCGAGGTTTTCCGTGTACTTTTTGGCTGTAACCACGAAAACCAGCGTAGCGAGGCTTTCGTTTCGATCTGCGTAAGCAGTGAGTGGGCCGCGACCGCCGGCCCAGACGCAAAAGAATATATCGATCAAAAAGCCGCCCCTTCGCCCCCCCTCCCCTCACTGACTGTGCTGCTGAGTTGTTGATGAGATGTGGCTGGATGTGCTGGAGGTGATGATGCCATCTCTGTTTCCCCTACCCAGAGTCCCATCTCCGTTGCCCTAGAGTTGTTGTAGGGTTTGGTCCAACAGACTTTTTGGCATAGCAAGGTCCCTTCCCAATCGTAAAACACAGGCTGCAACATACTTTCGGCATTCCTTGGCATCTAGCTGTCAATGTGCCTTCCCTGTCGTACGACACAGGGGGCAACATACTTTCGGCATTCCTTGGCATCCAGCTGTCAATGTGCTTCCCTATCGCAAAACACAGGCTGCAACATACTTTCGGCATTCTTGGTATCCATCTGCCAATGTGCTATCCTATCGCAAAACACAGGGTGCAACATACTTTTGGCATTCCTTGGCATCCATCTGCCAATGTGCTTCCCTATCGCAAAACACAGGGTGCAACATACTTTCGGCATTCCTTGGCATCCATCTGCCAATGTGCTTCCCTATCGCAAAACACAGGGTGCAACATACTTTTGGCATTCCTTGAGTTTCGCTTGCCTGGCACTGCGCATAGCTGCGCATGCGTTTCCGATTGCATGTGAGGATGCCTGGAGCCCGCCTCGCCTGCTGATTGCCCGACTCGTCAGCTCTGTTTGCCTTCTGTTGCTGATGTGGTTGATGTGATGATGCTTGGAGCACGCCTCGCCAGCTCTGTGTGGCTAGCCGTTCCTCCAGCCCAGGCTTGCTTTCGTTCCCCTGGCCCCGCCCCTGCAGCTGTTGTTTGTGGGATTCGTAAATGGTATTCAGGACGGATTTGGTGTCGGGTTTCGGAGATGTTCTTTATTTGGTGGTGTCTGCCATGTTTTTTGGGGAACAGGATTGGTAGAGCTCCGTCCTTGCCTGGTGAGGTGATGAAGGCAATGAGGATGGACATGCAGAGCTTGGACTCACGGCGCCAGGTTGGGGAGCCAGTTTCCACGATTGCAGGTTGCGCAGAGTTGCTGTTCCAAGTGTATCCAAGTCTTGCAATCCGGTGGCAACAAGGACTTTGTCTCAAAGTAACATGGAAGTTCTGTGGTGCGCTGAGGTCATGCACAACTGGATATCCTGGTCAGGCTGGCTTCCAGCAGCCATGGATCCCTCAGCGTTGCACGCTTTGGGTGGGGGGGTTTAGGGTTTAGGGTTTTGGTAGGCTTCGACTCTGCTGTGGGCGTCGTGATCATCGCGAACGCCGTCACTATCGGTCTGGTGCCTCGCTGGCAGCTTCTCTTTCATGGCACTGCTCGTGCTCTTGCCGCTACATCTCTCTCTCTCTCTCTCTCTCTCTCTAAGGAAACCCATTACGCCTCCCTGGAATGCTGCAGCCTCAGCGGAAGCAGCCGAGAATCCGTCAGGAAGCGGGCATAATGCTGGAACATGTAGCCTCCCTCGGGTTTCGCATGTCTAGGTCGCTGGGCTAAGCCCAACGGTCTTGCTCATTCCCGTGCTGCTGGTCCTAGATGCGGAAAAAGCTCCATTTGAAAAGCTGGTCCGAAGTCGGATCACGAATCACGAGCCCAGCCTGCTTCGACAATTGTTTAGCGGAGTTGATCTTTTCATTGCATTCCAACTTTCTGGCTCTGTGCCCTCCATGACTTGGTAGCTGCAGCAGGTAGTGCGCGATGTTGCAACGAACAAACCAATCATCCCTGTTTCTAGTCAAGCCAGCATGGGAGCTTCAGAAAATCAAAGAACCCCCTCAAAAAAGACCGAATAGTGGGAGCCGGCCAACTCATCCGACTCTCCCTGGCCCAGGCGCCGCCGGCCCTTCCTGCGAGTCGATTCGGCCCTGCCCTCACTGCTGTGGAGCCGAGAGAAGGGCAGCAGGTAACCTGAGACTTATATTAATATTAACATGAGCATTAACACCATCAAAACGTGTTCATGTTCATCTTATAATATAGAAGTTCATATCTGAGACTTATTGAAAATTATTGTTACCAGTAGCACTCATTGTATGATCGTTGTTATTCTTAGGATTCCCACGTGGCTCTCCGTCGTGGATAACGTGTTCTTTGCCATCTACGTTCTGGAGCCACTCGGCGGAGACCAGTGGCCCCAGGGAGTCTTGTCGGACAGAGGCTCGAAGATGTCAGGTCGCCATGGATTTCATCTAGGGGCCTCAAGAATGACCAATAACTTTTTTTTTTGGGGGGGGGGCTCTTTGTTAAAATTATAGTGTCATACACCCACCCCAAAGCCCCTATTCTAGTTATTAAGGCCCCTATGGCAGCTTCCTAGTCGCGTCTGCACAGGCTTTGCAAAAGCCCACTTGCGCGTCGCTTGTGTCCCGTTGTAAATGAGATGTATTATATGCGTGAATCCGTCACTTTCTCAGGCATCCCACTGTCGGTTGCGATTCTCAGGTTCGGCTTGCGATACTATGTTTACGGATGGACAGTCATCAAGAGCAGCTCAGCCGCAAACCCTCTTCGGCATAGCTGCTGGAATGCTGCAGCACGCATACATTCTTATACTTCCACAAGCAAGCCCTGGTCAAGTCTATTTGCGTCAAGAGATTGGGCTCTCCCACACACGGGTGTCTCGTGTCACGCCGAGGTAACTGGATCAAGTTCGATATATTCCTCATCGTCAGTTCAACGATTGCTGCTTGGCCCTGATGAGTCTTACAGGCGCATGTGCCATGCACTCTGCCTGGCAGCTTAGGATCTCATCTTGCGGCCCATTCAATTTGACAGCGAGTTGCTGGATCAGATCCACTGCTGCATCTATGAGTCTATGATTACAACCTTCGCTCGCATGGAGACGCCTTCAGATCCTTAAGCATCAGTGTAGAAACAAGCCTGAAAAGTCTATGGTTGTGTTTACAACGGGCACGTGCGGAAGGTTTCAGAGCGTGGAACGGAGCAGCGAGTCTGTCGATGCAATGGAGTCCAGGAAAGAGCCTGTCTTTAAGATTTCCGACTGCTGAACACGCCTCCACCAGGGGGCTTGAGGGGTGGAGGTGGGCACGGGGCGAACGCCGGACCTCTTTGCAGCCGTTCCGCCGGTCAAGAGGCAACAGAGTCGGTTGAAGCAAACTTGACCACAGATTCCTCGTTTCTTCAAATGACTGGAAAATTGCAATCAGCCTGCAAAAGCTAGCAGGTGCACGAAGCCTTCATTCGCATTTGCATGCCATTTCAGAGTTTGAGCTTTGCATTTCTACTCTTTCCCACTGCTTGGCTTCAAGGATGATGGTGGTGCGCATGCTACGCCTCGCGCGGTTGGCCAGGGCGGTCCGCCTCATGGTGCCATGGTCCTTTGAAGTTGTTGGGTTTAGGGTGTTGCTTAACTGCTCCTCCCCGATCCCTCTTGGAGCATGGCAGATATATGATCGGAGTGCGATGCTCCTGAAGCCAGCCGCGAGGTGCAGTTCCAGACGCTGTGGCAGCTACTTGGCAAGCATGCGTAGTGCTTGACACCTGACTTTGCTCGGTGTTATCGCTAGAACGAAAGTTGTTATGTTGCAGATGTTGGTTTCGATCAGTGTCTTGCTAGCCGTTCCCCCAGATCCGTTTCACAATGCAACAAGGCTGGTTCAGGGCCTGATGCACAGCTTGACTACATTGCTGTGGCTTGGCCAACTGACAGGATTCTCTCGAGCGGGTTCAAGGAAGACTGCACGGTTGAAAATTGCGATGTGTAAGCGTTAAGCAGGGGCACCTCCATATTGCATGCAAACCTCCGCGCACTGTTGTCTCGGTGTCCAAGTGGGTTCATCCTGGCATCAATGCCAGACAACGCGGGCCCCGTGCATTCACTGGACTGGTGAGCACTTGTAGAAGGGAAAGGCGTTGGAGTATAGCACAGCTGTTGTTGTTGTTGAGGCACCCAGG